TAAGTAAGGTAACGTAGGACGTACGGTAGTTAGTCGTAGTAGTACTACTACTACTACTACTACTACTACTATATATATATATATATATATATATATATATATATATATATATATATGGGGAATGATCCTGTATATTTACAATACACAGTGTTAGGGTGGTTTTAGCCCTCCACCGTAAAATTGGGCTCCAATCTCGATAACCAAATTCTACCTCCCTTCCTTCTCTTCCATCTCCCTCTCTCCTTTCCATCTCCCCCCTCTCTCTCTCTTACTACCTCCCTCTCTCTTCCTCCCAAACTGTAGAAATTGTCTCCCTTTCTTACTTCTCTCTTCCATCTCCCCCTCTCTCTTTCCGCCTCCCTCTCTCTTCCCCCAAAGATCATTCAAAACACATGGCTATTGATAGAGAGAGAAAACTGAGCCCTGTGGTCGCCCCAGTCTCTCTCAGTACACAAATTCAAAAGCTACGCGCATGTGCATTCTTTCTTTCTCTACACTCTACAAATGGCGCCTGCGATTCAATATCCAGGTTCTGCTTAGCGGGTACCGTAGAGAGAGAGAGTTTATGAAGAAATTGACACTCATCAACATAGACATGGGCTTGAGAGAGAGAGAGAGAAGGGAATCAAGAAAACATCAAGCCCACCAATCTATATACTTATAAGAGAGAGAGAGAGCCCACAAATCAACATGGACTTGGGTTTCAGCGTCCAAGACAATGGTGACGATGGTGATTGGACGGACCGGATTTCATAGAAGCCATGTTTCGTAAAGAAAGGGTCTCATGGCTGTAAAGAAAGCTACACAACCTCCTCCTCCTCCTCCTCCACCTTCTCTCATCACTTCTCGTTCCTACTCCAAATGATCACCAAAACTCAACAAGAATAGAGAGGGGTCATCAAAAAGAGAATGTCTAGGACGAACGTGAGCAGCTTAAATGCATCAACAGGAGAGCCTTCTTCACGGTCACAGTTGTTTGACAATCATGGTACTAATAGAAAAGATGCTACACCCAATGGCTTATCTGTTGGTTTGGAATTAAAAAGCCGGCATCTATTTGAAAGTGCTTCAAGGCCAAGGGATAGCATTTATGGCCCTCAGGCATAAGAGAATAATTGCACAAAGACTAGTTCACAACCAAAGAGCACTAAAGCAATAGGAGTTCAGACTGATATGGATTTGGGTGATTGTCAGTTGGGAAGGAATGATGACCTCTCTGAGAAGTATGAAATCCAAAACAATTGCTCCAACTCTGGCACTCCCGAACGGATAATGGATCAGGGCGTAACTTAGTCTCAAAGATGTTTGTGACGTGTGCTACAAATTTGCATGTGCTTTTCAGATGCATGATAAATGTCTCCTCCAATAATTTAGACCCTGTGGCTAAGGTGGTGGTTCTGGTCAATCAGTAAAAGCTGCAAAAGTGTGTCATCTTTATGCAAGATTAACTAAAATGAACAATGAGATGGCCAGGCTAAATGCTTCGAATGATATCCATACGATAACAGCCATATCAGAGAGAGATTTCAGTTCAAGAGAGAGAGGGAGATGGAGTTTCTACAGCTTTGCAAGGAAGAGAGGAGGAGGTGGAAAGACAGTGAGAGGAGGGGAGATGGAAGAGAGAAGGACGAGAGAGAGGGGCAGAAGAGAGAGTGGAAAAACTAAAAGTAATTAAGAGGGGTAAAAGTGAAAATCAATAAGGTTACCTCTTGAATGGGTTAGGAGGTGAGGGAGAATTTAGTTATCGAGATTGGAGCCCAATCTAACGGTGGAGGGGGCTAAAACTACCTTAACCCTGTGTATTGTAAATACACAGGATCATTCCCTTATATATATATATATATATATATATATGTGGGCGAATGTATTTCTATGCTAACGGTTGTATCATAGTATAATGCAACCACACTCTAGAAACCATGTTTTGTCATTGTATGACCCTAATTTGCGCACACATTCT